CTGCAAGCGATGTTCACTGAACGACTGAAAACAAACGGCACAGCGATTAAAATTACAAGAGAGACTACCAGCAATCAATAAAGGGAATATAATTCGGTGAAACATTTACAGAGACAACATTTTTCATTCACGAAGACAAATATTAAAGTGTCTCTAAAAATCCTGAGTCTTCAAGCTTAAAGCGTAAGTTTATGTTTTAAGCCGGCTTCCCGGTATTTACTTTTTTCACAGATGAACTCGAGGCAAGAAAATCGCTCAAAGCTTTCTTTTACTGCCAGAATTATAACTAAATGTTCTATGGAAAGTTTTCTTTCTATCTGCGGTGAGAAAATGTCTAAAGACTTTTTAAAGTTGTGTAAGCTTATATCAAGTTTACCTGATTCGTGGTCAGATCAAATTGTCTCAAATCTTACAAACGTGCATAAACTACGCTCAACTTCTTTAAATTAGATATAAAAAAACAAACATCAAACACAATAATTACTGGGGCTTACCATTCGAGATGCAGCTCCTGAAAGGTATCAAGGAAGGCCAGTATCGCTTCAGAGTTTTCAGCCTTTACGCATCAAGCAAGGTGAAAAACTAAAACGTTGACACCCGAAATCGGATTCCCGACTTTGACAAGTGATGTATTAATTTCTCAACCAAAAACCAACTAGCCATGAATAACAGAAGGCTCCTGATAGCAGCTAAATTTCATTTTGTGCACCCAGTGGAAAAAGACAGTTAAAAACATCACAAGTTGACACAAAACTCTATCAGCTTCAGCTGTCAAAGTAAACAAGATTCAAAATGCTGCATAAATTTTCCGCATGAGCTCACCTGTCAAATTTTGACCAATCAGAGCTTTAAAAATGGATGTAGAGCGTGACCAACGCGTGACCATGGTGACCAAAGTCAAAAGCAACTGTCTTGCCTGTAATAGCTGGCTGAATTTTCGGGTCCGAGGTCAGTTTTAAATCAAAATTTTAATTGTGCGGCCCAAAAACAAAACATATTTCATATGAATGAAAAAAATCAAACTTGAGCCTGCGATCATTTGAAAACTAGTAACTTGTCAGCGGATAACTTCAAAAAATACTTGACCTCGATGGGTTAACACCTGAGCCCGCGATGCGGTCAAGTGATACTGGTCAGCGGATACCCTGTTTTGACAGCTGTCAATTGATCAAAACATTGATGTCTAATGGATGTGTGCATTATCAGTTTTCCTGTGCTCTGAAACTAGCTAGAAAGTATGAGATTGAACATTGATCGCGATCTAGTAAAACAACTGGTCAGCGGACAGCTTCCAAATAACTCACGTCACCTTGATGAGTTGACACATGAGCCCCCGATATGGCAATGTGATACTGGTCAGTGGCTATCTTGTTTTGACAGCTGTCAGTTGACCATATCGTGAATGGCCAATGTAAAAGATGTGGATTTGCTAAGACACGCCTGAGACACCCCTCCCTTCCTTTTGATAGTCTCCCCTACCCTACCCGTACAATCTGTAGACGCGTACGTACGTACGTACGCTCGGTCAGTCACGTGACAACCAAAACAAAAGAGGTTGACCATATTCCATGAGTATGGGGCTCTGTCCCACGCGCGCTTCGCGCGCGAGGGAGCCCCGCTATTAACCGCTTTTAGAAGAATTGACACCAAAAAGAGAGCTTGCTCGGAGGCTACGTCTTTTCTCTCTTTTCCTCTTCTCTCCATGAATATCGATAGCGATACCCGGTAAAGTCTCATCTTATCTTTACACGTGCGGAGACGTCATAACCAAAATTTTAACAACCACACTTTACCAGTCACACCCACTGTGCTCGATCCATGTCACGCGCTGCACGCGGGAGCTCCGCTGAAACGCATTTGATAAATACTTGCCTGGTTACTAAGCATGTTATGGTAAACGCCTAATAACTGGTCCCTTGGAAAAAAGTTAATTTTGTGTCCCGAGGCGGGAAACAGTTTCAGTGTTAGATGCAATGCCCGAAGTAACCAATGAGAGCGTGCGTTGTTGGGAAAAATTTCCCGTGTTTAGCGTACCCAGTGGTTCCCAGTTATTGTTAGCCTGAATTTCATCCGATTACTTCGAGTCGTTTTTACTCCCTCAGTAACTGAGGGAGTAAAAACGACTCGAAGTAATCAGATGAAATTCAGGCTAAGTTATTGCAAGTGAATTCATTTCAACTAACCCATCCGATCACGAAAATTAAAACAGAGACGATACTAATTGATACAAGACCAATGAATTTTCTCGATGTTTAACTCTCTTAGCTCTTTTGGTGCTGATTTTTTTCGTGACCTTGTTAAGTTCTCCGAGAAAAGCCGGGGAAAAAGTCACAAAAAAATATGAAACGGCAAACTGATTCTTATCGCGAGGCGATGAAGAGGTAAACAAAAGAATAAAACCAAAAAATATATATTTAAACAAATTGCCTAATATTTCAGTTGTAACGAACTTTAAGTTTTATTTTCATTTTTCTTTTAGCACCTGAGGAGGGTTTGTTTTCAAACCAAAATATTGGTTTGTTGTTGTGGACTTGCTGATATGTTATATAGTTTGGGAAAAGTGACACTTGATGAAATGTAAAGAAGCAAAGCTGTGCACTTAAATTAAGCTCTACTTTGAATTTAGTAGTCAGAGCACTAGCTGAATACTTTATACAAAAATTAAACTTCTGATGAGACTGAACTGTATTGATTCAGGTAGCCTGCCAGCAGGCTCTCCACTTCAAGTGGCGAGAGAGCGCGCGAGTGGCGGAGGAAAAGGAGAGCTCTCCTCTCTTTCCCTAGACTACGAGCAGTCTCTCTTTTTTTCTTGGTCCTTCGAACAAAACGCCCGAGACACGCAAATGACCACGCGCGTGACTGAAGTTCCCCACCTCGCACACTTGCGTCTCCCTTCGCGTGCGGCTCTCGAGTGACTTCTCTCGACTCCCCCAAGTGGAGAGTTTGCTCATAGGCTATGCAAGAAAGAAAGGGAAAAAAAAAAAGTAGTTGGTTCTAACGACCACCCAATGAGTCTTGCTAAAAAGAAAGAAAAAAAACAGCACATTAAAATATCATTTCTCGTTGAAACAGATGACCTAACATGACCTAACATGACCTAAACTTCGAGCCGAGACCCGAACCAAGGGTCCTGGTCTTTTCCTTTTTGAAAGCCATTGCTCGAGGAACCGGGCCCATAAGGGTAAACCTTGACCAACAGCAATCAACCTTGGCAATAGGGAGTTTTTAAACTCTCTATCTCTATTGCTGCTCTCTATCGTTTCTGAGAATTTCTCAAAATAGAAAATAGCGTGAACTACCAATTAAAGTGTAGAAAATGATGAAAAGTAAACGACAATTAAATGAGAACCTTGGTCACGTGGTACTATTTTCATTACAGTTAGCCCCCCAATAACCGTAATTATCGAAGGTTGTATCGAGAAAACAGGAACAGGAACATGTTGGAGTGTAGCCTGCAGTGCAGGCGTTTTCTTTGAGCGCGCAGTTTGCTCGCGAAAGCGCCATGTTGAAACTTCGCGAAGAGAGGGGTTACTATTTCTACTCTCCCCAATCTTCCAATGTCATAAAATCAAAGATCTAGATGGCGGCTACAACAACATTACGAACACTAACAAGGTTTCGCCCACCCAAAATACGTCTGCACTGCAGGCTAGTTGGAGTGGTTTTTACTGACTAGCTACAGCGTCCCTCTGACCAGTGTGATAACGCTCGCAACTTTGGTCTTAACAACAGTGATCGTCTTCAGACTGTTTTCCAAAAGGCAAGTAAATGATTTTGGGAACAAATTCGTGGTGATTACCGGCTGCGACACTGGGTTCGGTCACGAAACAGCCATTCGCCTGGATAAGATGGGAGTTCATGTGTTGGCGACTTCTCTGACAAAGGAAGGGGAACAGAATTTGAAATCAGAGACGAGCGACAGGCTTAAAACATTTCAGATGGATGTGACAAACTCGCAGCAAATCAAAGATATCTACGAGAAAGTAAAGGGAATTTTGCCCTTGGGACAAGGTGGGTGTAAGCGGCTGTAAGTTCTAGGACTTTGGGCACTCGATTTATGCAAACTTATGCTTACGGTTTGATTGTCCCGGCGTTACCACTCAAACCAAATCGAACGTTTTATTAATCGAACTTAATCGAACTCAGTCGAGTTTAATCGATTGATTACGTTCGATTAAGTTCGGTAATCAAACACAATAGAATCAGATCTCACAAAAACGTTTTAGGGGGGTGTTTACGTGAGAAAACTCGCACCGGCGCGAGTTTCATACCGGAATGACTTTTTGATTTCGTAATCGAACCCAAGCGAACTTTGAGCGAAGTTCGATTAGGTTCGATGGTTGAATCTGGCATACATTTGATTACAAATGGGACTTTATACAGGAAAATTAACACGGAACGAAAAAACGGATTTACCGAACGTCAAAGGTGAAGTCAAATCAAATGCGCGATAAAGACCACCTTTGCACACCTTTGCACACCTTTGTACACCTTTGACGCGAGACAAATGTTTACCTTTGCCTGCGGTTTCAGGCGAGTCTTCAGGCGATAAAGGCCGTTTTTGTCACGCCTTTAACCCTTACCTTTGACGCGCCTCAAAGGTATATTTGATTAGCATCTTCTCAAACTCATTAATAATTCATTAAGAAAATACAAAGGAAATTAATGATTAATGAGTGTTTGGAAATCGCATGAAACACGGCTTAGTATTTGCATCCTTAATTTCTCCTTCAAAAATGATTTTGTTTGAGAAGAAATATCAAACATTCGACACAGTGTTTCATCACCAGATGAAACACCTCGAAGTTCGTCAAAAATACTCCGCTGCGCGTCGTATTTTCAACTCTCTTCTCGGTGTTTCATCTGGTGATGAAACACTGCATCTCATGTTTGATATATTACGTCAAATATGTCTGAGATTCGAGCCAAAGGAGTGGCAAAAAGCACACTTCGCGTGAATTCCGCGTTCGCCTCGCGCTTCGAGCGAATGCGGCGTTATTGCCTCGCTTGGCTCATAAGCGCTTGATATACAGGCTAGACCCCAACTTGAGGTCTCAGTCAAATTCAATTGCGGCTTGGATACCGTTTAAAAAGGTGGGCAGATAAGAGACTGAGTTCTTAATCTTGTAATTTATTGTCGTAAACCTCATTAGTTTAGAAAGTTGAATAATGCCGATTAAAACTTTTTTAAACGCATAGATAAAAATGATTTTTTAAAACCTTTTTACGATTTATTGTCTAAAGTACTTAATGAAGTCAATGAACAATCATAATGACTGCTGGAAATTTTTAAAGCGCTATAACTGTTAGATAAATGCTTTTGTGACGGACGGCAACCTGAAAAATAGTTTAAAACACTTCTTTCACGAAAGTCAGTGCTGAAATCATGGTAAGCATGGGTTACTTTTGATTAGACCTAAGATTATTATTAGCTAGCAACTCTATTAAAGATGTGTTTTAAGCTATTTTTCTTGACCATTGTGATCAAATACGAGTTTCTCGCGGAAAACCCTCCAAACAGTATTTTCTCTTGAAAGAGTAAACAATGAAAAATTAGCCAATTCAACAGCAAATGCAAAACATTATGGGTAAATAACACTAAAAAACTTGATCAACGTTTTTGAAAACAGGAAAACCAGAAGATGAGGAACCAAAAATGAAGAACAATAATGTAATCTTCTCTACTAGATCAGAGTTATATGTTCTCTTCTTTTCTCCTTATTATTTCTTTCATCATCACCCTTCTGAAAAAAAAATAAATAAATAAAAATTTGGAAATTTCGGTTGGAAGTTAGATAAAGAAGATAAGAGAGGCGTATGCTATGGGGAGGTAGTAGCCTGCGCGTCTGACGTGGAGGAACGGAAAAAGGGAGTGGGGATGGGGAGAGAAGGAAAGGGACTCCCCTTCTCATTCTCCTATCGTGCAATTGCCCTAACCCTGCCCTCCCAATTTTTCTGCCTGCCACTGACTCAGGCTAAGGAGCTAGATATGTCGTGTGATACCATCGGTACAACATTTTCTTAAATTATTTTTATATAGTATATTAATACGTGACTGTTCAAAACATATCGATACAACATATTTAAAACAAAGCAAAGTATTGAAGGTACACTATGTTAATACGTTTGTACACGGTTTGGTTTGAAAATAGTCATCGAGGGGAAGGTTATTTTAACAATTAGTCGGGTACATTATAATGGCCGTTTCGTTGTGGAGTTGAACTGCGTTGAGAGAAGCTGGCCATTTCAGTACCGAAAGGTCAGGCTGTTTTATGGAATTATTTGATTCAGGGAAGTTTAGAATTGACAGAAGTAAGAATTCGTTTCAAATAAGCAGAAAAGCGTCATAATAGTGAAAATATTGCTGCAAAAAATGTTTCTACATCAATTAAAATAAGTGAATATATATCAACTTACTTTCCTTCCGCACCTTTTCTTTTATCGAAGACCAGCAGTCAGGTTTAGCAGCGTTAAAACAACGCAGTAAAGTAGACCCCCTGTTATTGGATAAACAGACGATATATTATTATATTGTGCCATTATGTAAAATAACAAGTTTGAGTGCTGGCAGACCTTTGGCCAGGAACACACTCCGATTTCGGAACCCGTCTATTTTTTTTCTGTTAACCCGTTGTTTACCCGTTTTTGCATAGAAAACACGAACAAAAAAATCGACCGACTTTAAAGTTCGGCCTACTACGAGAACACGCGAAAATATGAGCGCGTGATCTGATAAGGGAAGGCGGTGGAGTTTTTATTAGGCTGATTCAGCAACAGAACGGGAACGTCTGTTGATGACTGCGCGCGCAAATCAAACAACTGGCTTGACCAATGGCAGAACGGCAAATTGGGTAGCGGAAGTCGAGTTTAGTCCTTTCCGCGCGCTTTCCCGTCGTCAAATGACGTTCCTGTTCTGTTGCTAAATCAGCCTATTTTCGTGTTCGCGCTTTGTCGATTTCGCGGACCTGACCATCTAGGAGCCTGGAACGGGCTAGACCACTTACTAAGGCTGTGTTCATGCTATAGCGGAAAACTTTTCGTACCGACACGAAAATCTATCCAGTATAGCATGAACTTCTATACGATATTTGACTCTCAACTTTAGAAATTCACTCGGTTACAGAAATCACTTCGAAATCAACGTTCTTATATATAAACAGAAGCCCTGTTTGGTATGATTTTCGTGCCGCTGCGAAAGCTATCCGGAATAGTGTGAACATTGCCTAAGAAAATACCATCTCTGCCATCTGCAGCAGTCCTGGCTTAAAGTTTACGTATGGAGGGCAACCGAGAAGCCCTGGGGTCGAGGTTGCGGTTTTTGGTAGGGCAATACAAAATGGCGGAACATTTCAAAGTCACGTTTTGCGAAGAAGGAATAGCCTATTAAACTGCTGCCTAGAAACATAGCAAGAACAGAAACAATACAACTCGACGGACATCTGCTATTTGTAGAATTTAAGCAGAACAAAACTCCTTTTTATCTCCTGAACTTTTTAAAAAACAGCCAAAGTTGGAAGACGGGAATTCAATAACATCGATCGGGGCAGGCATGCTTTAGTTTGTTTTAAAACTAGCAATTGTTTTGAATGAATAATGAAACAATTATCACTCTTTGCAGCTTAAACTTAAAATATGCTTCTTCCGACAGGTTTTTTTCAGACACATTAGAACAGGCTTTCTTTATCGTACTTTGAAGCTGACTGAAGTCTATTGTATTCTTCTGCACCCTAGTCCTAAATTTTTTCAATCAATGACCAAATCAATGGAGGACCTCCTTGTACAAGCCTTTGGCTGTTTGCGTCTCCTCACCACTCACTGTTTCACTGTTTTTTTTCACTTTCTTTATGACTTGTTTTATGAAAGTGTTCTTGACTTAAACTGTGTATGTATTGTTACGTTATGGTTATTGTTAATCAAGATTAATTAAGATATTATGTATTGTAATTATGGTACTATGAATTTTATCTCAAATTGCATCTAGTAAGAAGTGGTGGTGTAAATAAATAAATGAAATAAATAAATTAATAAAAGATGGTACATAACACCAGCAACTGAAGCCTAAAATCTGATATGGCTAGTAATTTACTCGAGAGGTCACACAAAAAATGAAAAATTAAAGTAAAAGTACCAAGTGTAACTGTAACAAGTTTAAACTGAATACATACCATCTGTGATGGCTGCTTTTGATGGGACAGTACCTTGAAAAAAGGAATGGCAGATTATTCAAGTTTCAAGAGCTACAAAGAACGTCCCAGTTATGAATTTTTGATTACACGGCACCTATCATGCTCCAAAATAACCAGGTAAACGTTAGGTAAACCTCAGTAATGTGATCAACTATTCTGGACATTCTAGTAAGATATATACAGTGAATCCTCTATTAAGCGGACACCTTCGGGACCTTCCAAAGTGTCCGCTTAATAGAGGTAATTTATAAATATTGCGCAATGTTTGTTAACGATTAACTCTCAACGGTTACTCTGTAATTTGATAAAACTCCATGTTGTTAAGAGAAAGCTAATGAAGCTGTGCTGTTCTTTGTGCAAAATCTTGAGGTGATTTTTGATCGCGGATGACAATCATAGGGCCGGATATCAGTCTAATCTACAGTTTATTGACAGCCAAATGTATTGATTTATCTTTATTAATCGACTACAGTACGTATTTCAGGGACGTAATCCAATTTGGGGAGCAACGGTGGCGCAGTGGTGAGAGCACTCGCCTCCCACTAATTTGGCCCGGGTTCAACTCCCGGCGCCGACGCCATATGTGGGTTAAGTTTGTTGTTGATTCTTTCCCTTGCTCCGAGAGGTTTTTCTCCGTGTACTCCGGTTTTCCCCTCTCCTCAGAAACCAACATTTCCAAATTCCAATTCGACCAGGAATCAGGTAGACGAAGAACCAATGCGAGGATGTGCTATACTACTATTGTCAGTTCCGTCCGGTCTCCGCTTAATAGAGGTTTTTAACAATAGAAATTAGCCAAATACCATTTACTTTAGTGTCCACGTCCGCTTAATAGAGGTGTCCACTGAATAAGGGTTCGTTATAAGGGGAGACATAAGAAGTTAATTTCGGGAACCGGCTTAGTGTCCGCTTAATAGAGGTTTCACTGTATTCAAAAGATGTTATCTTTTAACAGTGCAATATCAGTATTACAGTGCCTTTGATTTACATCGTTGTGGCCCACGATGAGACATGTGGGGTGCCCTCCCGTTATATTGTGGAAAATGTTGCTTTACTTTGTGACGTTGCCACCTGTGCGAATGAGATGAATTTTTTTTGTGGCCATTTTGTCTTTGGGCCAAGAGAAGGCCATCGACCGTGTCGATTGGTCCTTCCTTTTGCGTACCCTTTTGTCTATGGGCTTTAGTCCCTCTCTTATTAGCTGGGTTAAACTTCTGGGTTAAACTCTTGCGTGAGTTGAACACCGCTTTGTTGAACTTTTTTTGGGGAGGTAAGAAGGATCTGCTCGCTTTTGATGTTGTGATTCATCATCGTGAGGATAGTGGTTTTCAGTTGGTTTCGTTTCCATCTCTTGCAAAGTGTATCCCCTCCTTACCCAGTGGATCAAGAGTCTGTGTGTTTCTCCTGGTTTCTTTGTTGAACTTCTGGTGTTACAATCGTTTTGGCGTAGATCCCGTGTTTGTTTTCCACACCTTTATCCCTTGTATACCCGGCTTTTGCCGCCTTTCTATGTTTCCTTGTTCGATTCTTAAAACTTCTTGAAAAAATGCTCGAGAAGGCTCGGGCCAGCCTGTTACCCCCGTTGGGCAAGCAATTGCTTTTTGAGGGGGGGCTGCGGTCGTGTTAGCTTGTTGCTCAGGCACATGGCTATTGGCTGGTATGCATTTGGTGTATCCTGGTTAAATTCCAGGGTGGTGGAGATGGTCTAAAGAGCCTGGTTTGTGCTGGACTGTGGCTGTACTGAAATTTCTACCGCGGCTTACCGCTATTTACCTGGGCTCAGTGTCTCTGTCGAGGTGGGTGTCAGCTGGTTGCACAGGCACAGGGCTTTCAACTGGTGTGTATTTGGGGTAGCCTGGTTAAATTCGTTTTCCTGCGCTTGGATGCAGTTTCTTTGACTGTGTAATTTCCATGCAAGCAATAAAACACCCTGTTGCTAATGTTTTCAAGTCATCAAGCAGTTAAATTAGGGGTTGTAGGGCATCTTTTCTTCGAGAAATGGTGTTTTGGATTGTATTTGGGAGACCAATGGCATTGCAAAATTGGGGAAATTGGGGAAATGGCTTTGCAATCGGTGACGCTGAAAATGAAACAAATCGTTAAAATGTCCTATTTTTTCCAGTCTAATGTAGAAAGCTTTGCATGCAGGCATGGTGCTTACATAATTTTTTCCTGGTAAGATTTTACTTTTCCAGTAAAAAGGGCCATTAAATTAACAATCACTGGGAGAGAGACTGACATTTTTTAGTAGCCCGGTTTAAAAAAACACACATACACACAAAAAACGGGTAAATATGAAAGAATTTCTCTTACCTTTAGTGTACATAATAGTTACATTGACCTGCTGCGGTCCTTTCATCGTCACGGACAGCTGAGAACTTGAGAAAAGGACTTGAAATGTTTTGTTGCCTTCAAAGCTGTTATCCATGTTAATGATACCAATTTTAACTTCCTTGTAAATCTCTCCCGGAGCAAATGCCAGTTGCCCCCCAGCGGCAGCCTTGTAGTGTTTGTTTGCTTCAGTTGTCAAGCTTTTCATATCATAGCTTAAGAAAGTACAACACAGACAATAGGTGTCACTATTAATTTAACAAAAAAATTCTGTGTTTTTGACTGGCGCAGATCCCCTGAATGATTCCTCACAACCAGCCAACGTTTACTTAATTTTTTAAGACGTTTGCAATGTCTGATAAAATGACATCAATGCTACAGGGTCATCACAGAAAAAGGCACAGAAACCTAGGAACTCCGTGATGAAGTTGCCCTAGCTCGAGCTAGCTCGGCTGTCTTGGTATACGTAGTGCTAGAGAAAATAGCGGAAAAAAATCACACATTTTGCGAAAAAGATAGCAGATCTAATGCCTAAAAACATGGCGAAAAACAGCAAAGATATAACTCAACGTATGCAATTGATTTTTGAGCAACATCGGCTGGAGTAACCAATCCGTTTAAATCCGTAATTTGCCAAGCAACAAGCCAATGAAGAGGCAACTTTACATCGCTCGAGGTAAGAATATAAGTTTGTTTCTAATGTATGAATTATTGTGAATCTATAGCAGAGAGTTATTCGCCGAGGCCGACGAATAACTGGTCTCTTCGAACTGGATAAGTCTTCAGATCATACTCAGTCTCATGTAATAATGCTATGAACTCTTAAATTTAAACTTGTCAACCCTCCGTGGGGTAACACGTACATCCTGACCAAATGGGCACCATGCATATGTACTGCCGTACCAACGACAGCAAAGCACTGAACACGTTTTAAGGAGTCCTGTAGCACACGTATCAACTCGGCGATATGGCCCGAGTACCTTACGCATGCGCCAACCATATCACCCAGGCAGTGGCAGACATGGACAGCTGTTTCGTCCTCATTAGGACTCATTAGCATAGCATAGCCCCAGGGGAGAGGTCTCACTTATGATCATCCACCCCGAGGAGTTGGTACGTATTCTTCAGTGCTGAAATTGATAACACTGATTAAAACACCTCGGCAAAAAATGTATATTCAGTGCTTATTTTGAGACTGTTTAGTGATTATACCGGCTAGTTTTTAAACACTGCTCATGGACGCCAACAAAGTTAGCCTGGGATCTGGCTTGTTAATGAGGAAAGAAGGCTCATTTGGTTTTTTTCCTCTACCAAAAAACCTGGTTCAAGACTATAAAAACGTTATTGCCATCTACAAACCCCGAACTATACCATAATAAGAATTCAGCTCCTTTGGCCGTACCATATTAGGAGCTACATTCTTCTATTTTTCCCTTTTTTAGCATGGACTGTTTCAGTACTTACTTCACTGCAGTAGCAATAGCAAGAAATCCCTGACGGCGCATGCGTATCGCTGCCATGCCAGCATCTGCTGGTATTATTACTTGAGCTTCTAGAATCTCAATTGTGACGTTCTTTGCCTCCATTGCTATTGGCGAAATAAACTGTAGTGAGTGCATCAATACATTCTACATTCTCTTGTATAGACCTCTAAGACTCGTTTATCAAACCGATCGAGTCTAGCTTAGGCTAGCCTGCCTACAGCCGCCTCCTCCCCTCAAACATATCAAGCAGAGAGACGTTTATCAGGGTTGCCACTCAGCAGAAAGTTAAAAATTCCCTGACTTTTCACCGATCTATAACAGTTTTCACTGACCTTTTATTAATGAGAAACAATCGATGTTTACATTCGCTTTAGCTTTTTTTGCAGGCCATCGATATTTTTCTCTTCATTTTCAACCTCTTTCCGCTTTTCGCTGAAAGAGGAAGAAGGAATTTGGAAGAAAGCATTTACAACGAAAACCACTGACCACAACTACTACATGTGTCAGGCATAGAGTGTTAAAATGGATCGCATTGCTTGCTTTGCAGTATACTTTTCATCTTTTCCGAAAGAAAATACATTTCAAAGTCTTGAAGAAAACTTCTGAACTATAAAGCGGAAAACAGAATTCCCTGACTTTTCACGGACCTTGACAATATCAAAGATTTTCGCAGACTTTTTAACAAATTCCCTGACTTTTCCCTGACCTTAAGAGTGGTTGTCGGAGAAAACCGGGCAAAATGTTAAAAATGTCAACGGAAGGGGGTCAACAGAATAAGTTCATACTAACATCATAGATAGGTCTGGTGGAGTAATGGACAAATATAATAAACATAGGCTCTTCACTGCTCTTGTATTAGAGATACGAGAATCACTTTATTCGACCCCCTCGGACGCCATTTTTATAAGCAAATTTTCACCATTTTCTGAAACTCACAGAACCCTCAAAATTTAACGAGCGAAGTTTATTTTTCGCATGCGACACAATACATCACAGAACTACTTTCTAAAACCATAAGATTTGTTAAGCACCCACGGACAAGACTAAAATTTTCTTATTTTATCTGACCTAAACTCAGTGTCTGCAAACGAGCAAAAAATCGGGCATTTTTGAATTGATCTACAGCGCACAACTAAAACGACAGAACAACTCTGACAGCCAAATTGCAGTCTACTATCATCTATGTAACCAAAACACTAATAATCATTTTGGGCCATTGAAACAGGAAGAAATTAGAAAACTCACATTTGTTATAGTTTCCAAGCTTTTTCTTGCAAACAGGCCGATCCCTTCGTGTTTGTTTTAAGTCCTCTTCGTGAATTTTCGTCCATATTTCGCTGTAAAGTATGTTCAGCAGCTGGAGAAAATATCAAAAAGCTCGAAATACTGCCTAGGTTACTTGTCCAAAGGGTAAAAAGTGATGAAACTAGAAAATAACAAAGCGACGCCATCTTGAAAATTCCGCACTCAGGAGGGACTGGCACTAGTAGCTGCGTTCGATATCTAACACGGACAAAAATTGCAAATTTTACACGAGCACATAGAAAACCAAACCTAATATAGAAATGTAACCAGAAAGCCTCGGATTCATGTTAGAATTTTTCTTTATCGAACGTGGGCTATTACGAACTATTACCAGGAGCCTATGGGCTCCTGATTAGCAATAAGATAAAAAAACAAAAAACAAACAAACCAGCTTATCAGCGACCTACTCCAGTCTTATTTCTTCTTCAATTACTTCTTTTAGTTGAATTTAGCTTTAGAAGAACGCCTGATCGCAGGTTAATTGGTGATTAACAGGCATTGCTTCATTCCCTCCTCATTTAGAGGTGTCCCGTGGATGTAGATAATATTAAAGATCTATTTTGTCTCTTTATGAATCACTTAACTTCGCTCTCATGCGAGCTAGCTAGACTTGCTATGTATCAACCTCGCGAGTTTCGAAACGTGCGGGCTAACTGCGGGCAGTGGATAGTCCTTGCTGTAAAATTTTTAATAATTTTTATTACCAACTGTTTATTAAAATAAACATAGTACATGCAGTTGAATCAGTTCTGCGGAGCGGGCATTTTAGGCCGCGAAGCGGCCAAGAAAGCCAGTGGACGAAGTTTTTTTTGAAGGTAAGCCTTTTAACTGATGATCCCATCGCTGTCACTTCGCATTTCCATAAGGTAATAGACCTTCGAATGTTGACAAGAGCTGTCAAAATAAACCATTCATAGCGTTTACCAGAACCCGGTATACCGAAAGGATCCGGAAGGAGCTTTTGTTAAAAAGTACAATTAAAGGGGTTTTACGACTCTCACTCCGCACCCCTTCCCCTCATTGTTTTTCCTGTTCACTTCTTTTTCAGAATGCTCTTTGCACAGTCCACACAATATAAACGCCACGTTTAGAGGGAAGGCGCAAATTCTCTTACAGATTGCGGTACTGTTTGCAGCTCAAAAACTTCACGGTTCCGCCGGGTCGCATATAAAGAAAAGGCGGATCCCTGCAAGTTTTTGGCCGTTCAAAAATTTGTAAAAGGGGTCTGAGTGTTAACTCGAGTTGGTACCTTTTCCATCATATTGATCATTGATAGAAGTCGTACACCTGGACGTTTACAGCCACTAGGTTCGTTTTAGCGGAGTACTGGTGTAGCTGTGAAAGAATTGACATCTCCTACATCTCTTCGTCACTGGATTTGTCAAAAACACTCTCACTACGTTGTTTAACATAAACAGTCCTCACATTTAGAGAAATTGTCAAGGTCTTGCCTTAAATTCAGAGGAGGCAATGATGACAGAAATGGAATTTATTCGTCTCCTAAGGAGATAATTTCCAACGCCATTTTGTTTGTTAATCTTTTCAACGGCGCTGTTGCAAAAAATGCGCGCGCGAATCATACGAGATGGCACAAAATGTGCTAAAATTAGCACATTTAACGGCCATGATATATATTTCAGGGGCAACCAACGACAATTTTCGGAAAATATCTGTTCGGAAGACGATTTGCGATTTATAATTTTCGGAACATTTCATTGTAAGATTCCTTGCTTGCCTGCCTCTCCTAGGATTTTCGAACATGTAAAAAAATGGTATAATTGCCCATTTTTAACGGATTTTTACCCTTAAAAAGTCACCTAGAATTTTCGGGAGCCTTTTTTCTGGCTGAAATTTGCGAAAAGGTAAGTTTTGATCCCTATAATTTTCGAATCACTAAACTTTCAGCTAAGAAATCCGAACAGATGAAAAATTTCTACGCGATAAAAATATGCCTATATCTACCGTTTAAATACTAGAATGCGTTTAACAATGCTATGTTTAGGTGGTTTTGAACTATCTTCTCGTTGGGTGCCCCTGATATTTCGATGAAGTCACCCCCATCCCTGGAAAAGGTATCCAGTTATGGTCTACTACCCCGATTTAGATAAATATGGCTCCTAGTAGAGTATAAAAACGTAATTTTGTGCTACTTCGCAACGTAATTAGCGTTGCTAGATAAGTCTGTCCGCCATCAGGATCCCGTAAACCATGTATGAGTAAAGACTACACATCAATATTAATATTAATCTTGTAAATATTCTAGTATGAGCCATTAAAATTGTTGAATGACCTTAATTCACCTCAGACACTCGTGTCAGTCAAGTGTGAATCGAAGTCCCCCATGTTGCCTTTTTGTTCAAAAAAACCTCTGACCTAGCAGCCCGGCTGCATCTTGCGCCCATCATCTGCCCCCAAGGGGTAAGGATCTGGCTCCTTTTTCATAGGGAAATTCATAAATTGTCAACTAAAACACTGTGCAATATGGAAGCAAGGCTAATTTAAGCACTAAGAGCGGCTCAGATATCTCAGAATTGGAAAAAAAACTAGTTAGAGAAATTGCTCAGCAATTATGTAAAAAGTTGCTTGAAACGCAAAAAGTTGCTCGAAATACTAGACCTTGCCAAAAAGTTGCCGAGCAACTTGTGGAAAGCCCTAGTGAGAAGGGGAGGGGGGTGGGAGGCTACTCAATAAAGCATTGTTCGGAGAGGTTTCGCCCCGAGTTCCAGTCCCTTATCCTTATATATACTATTTTTGAGAAAAGGTAATCCTTTCGTGTATCTTCCATTGAAAAGTTGCACCCTTTTCATATATATGCTTCGTGAGAATAAATCGGTAAGAAAGGAGGTCTTCGGGCCATTTTCGTGTAACCTTTAACTGAATTAACATGTAAATGATATTGTCATAAGGCGTGTTTCTTCGGAGCATTTAATAAAAGGCCCTTTAAAATCCTTAATGAAAGATTTTCCTCTCCTTTCACATAATTCAACTTGTGATTTTCCTACCCTTTGTTACACCTGATGCTTGAAAGAGGTACCCTTCGGGCGAAGCCTTCCGGATTATGAAACTGTGCATCATGAAATCATGAACAGGAGATGAGGGGACCTTCGGACATGGACGGTGATTGTAGACTGACGCAAAAATAGATGATACAATAAAGATTCCAAAGGAAGACTTATACTGGATAACTCAAAAGGAAGTGAATGAAGAGTAAATGAAGACTGAATAAAGTAATGCCAGTTGGTCATGCATCTTCCCCCAAACCCTATCACTCCGCCCAAAAAAAAAGACCGACAACACAACACAAAAAAAGCTAAATTTAACTGAAAGTAGTGATTGAAGAAGAAATGGGACTGTAGTAGGCAACTGATAAGCCGGTTTGTTTCTTTGTTTTTGTTTTTTATCTATTTGGTAATTCATCACGTTGTGGACAAGGCAGCTACTAGTGCCAGTCCCTCCTGAGTGCTGAATTTTCAAGATGGCGTCGCTTTGTTATTTTCTAGTTTCATCCTGTTGTTCAGTACTTTTTGCCCTTTGAACAAGTAACCTAGGCAGTATTTCGAGCTTTTTGATATTTTCTCCAGCTGCTGAACATACTTTACAGCGAAATATGGACGAAAATTCACGAAGAGGACTTAAAACAAACACGAAGGGATCGGCCTGTTTGCAAGAAAAAGCTTGGAAACTATAACAAATGTGAGTTTTCTAATTTCTTCCTGTTTCAATGGCCCAAAATGATTATTAGTGTTTTGGTTACATAGATGATAGTAGACTGCAATTTGGCTGTCAGAGTTGTTCTGTCGTTTTAGTTGTGCGCTGTAGATCAATTCAAAAATGCCCGATTTTTTGCTCGTTTGCGGACACTGAGTTTAGGTCAGATAAAATAAGAAAATTTTAGTCTTGTCCTTGGCTGCTTAACAAATCTTATGGTTTTAGAAAGTAGTTCTGTGATGTATTGTGTCGCATGCGAAAAATAAACTTCGCTCGTTAAATTTTGAGGGTTCTGTGAGTTTCAGAAAATGGTGAAAATTTGCTTATAAAAATGGCGTCCGAGGGGGTCGAATAAAGTGATTCTCGTATCTCTAATACAAGAGCAGTGAAGAGCCTATGTTTATTATATTTGTCCATTACTCCACCAGACCTATCTATGATGTTAGTATGAACTTATTCTGTTGACCCCCTTCCGTTGACATTTTTAACATTTTGCCCGGTTTTCTCTGACAACCACTCTTAAAAACTTTTCGTTTTTCCCTAACTTTTCCCTGACAGTGGCAACCCTGTTTTTTGTTTGAGAGAGGCGACGGCTGTACTCGGGCTAACTTAGGCCGCAGTTTGAGAAATAATTGGACTTTCAAATTTTTCCTTAAATTAACGAGTTGGTAGCTTTAGGGAGATAAATGCTCTATATTATGCTTTTTGAGTGACATGACATTGAACAAATGTGCTGTTATTCAACTTCTGGCGTGGTTATATTGAACTATTGTGTTTTCATTGAACTGTATGTTTAAAACTACAGAGCGGGAATCCGCGGACTTAATCCCCGTAGCCAGACAAAACTCATGTTCTTAGTCTTAAACCAAATCGGAATGTACTACATAATCGGCCCTCTAACAGACCTTTGGGTCTGGTGGACTTTTAAGCCAGACTAGAAAATCATTTATCTACTTTAAACTAGTGGTAATCGCAGATTAGGAACTGTGTTCGAGCTTTTTTGGGTTTACTGTCAAATGTGATGTTATTTCCTAATAAACTGATGCTGCAAAACGCTTCCTATATGTTTTTTTTTTTAAAAAAGAAACAAAACAAAGCAAAACGACTACGAAAAAAAAGAAAAAAGTCTCAATGTACAGGAGTGGAACCCGAGACATTGGACGTCATGCATTGCGCCACGCAACCAAATTGCTAAGACCATTAGTTAAATTAATTATTTTTATCATTTTTGTGCCCACGAGATAAATTGTTCAAAATGGCGCAGAAAATGCAGACGTACGACGAAATGAGTACCACGAAAGGTCACCCTTTAGTACCACAGGAATCCCAAGATTATGTGTTGCGTTCTCCTTACGTCGAACGCAACAAGAGAGAATAATGGACCAGAGATGGAATCTTCGGGCGTTGGCTGTGTTATTTTAACAGGATGTAATGGCACGAAAGTCTAATTCCTGAGACGTCCGCACATTTTTATCCATTACTTAAAACGTCATCAAGTCCACTGGCGACTGACTGCCTCACAACAAACAATGCAGAATATTTTAATGGCGACTGTTGAATTCTAAGACCAAACAAAAGTTTGCGGACGTCTGCGAAAGCTTATTTCCGATTAATCTCAAGTGTTTCATTGGTCTAAAAATAACTTTGGTGAAATTCACATCTCCTAAGGGCTAAAATGGGCGTTTCTTTCTCTGTCCATTCATTCTGTCTTGCTTAAAACAATTACCCTGCAAAAGGATTTAAGTTATACTTCATTTAATAACCGACCCTTCATCATACCTTCTTTAAAACTCCTGTTCCCAAGTTCTTGAATTTCTTCTACCCTCAGCTTAATTCCAATAAAGTTTAGGTTGCTTATAAAGAACCCTTTTATGTTGGATGTGGAGCCAAGCTTCAGACGGGTGTTCCGGTCTTGATCTACATAACTTTGTGCCAATATCGACAGATTGTCTACTAGTTTGCCATTATGATTTTGATAGAGGACTACGTCGCGTATTGATCCGTGATCAAAAGTAAAAACTATTTGAATCCAAGAATTGCGAGCCGCCAGTTCTCGGGCCGCGCCATAACCGGTGACTATCGCTTCAGCACTGCCAGAATAGGGAGAAATCTCAAATGACCAGCCATACTCGTACTCATCTGTTTGGTCATCAGCACGCAAGCCCGAATTCAGGACCTTTAGATCTTTATCTGCTCCAGTTTTAAAGAGAAATGACACTGTAAAATTCTGACAGAGATATGGATTACTGATGCAAGTACCAGCAAAGTCACCAAGGTCAACTTCTTCTCCTGCGGGCACAAACAGAGCCTGGATTCCATCTTCCACCTGAGTTCTGACGCCATTTGGGATTTTCTCGCTTTTGAAAGATTTGTTGGCTGCTTGGTCGTAACCATACAATGCCTGGTTAGCAATTGGATAAAAAGGCCAGGAGTAATTAGCTGTTGAATGATGAAAACAATCTAGTCAGTGGGTCAGTCAATCTGGTCAGTCACTTATTTCAGTTCAGTAACATTTTTCTTTTAATGCACCCTATTAGAACTGTTAGAGGGTCTCTTTAGGCCAGCTAGAAGAATTGACACTTTAAGAAGCGTCCTTTTTTGCTATGGAACTTGACAAATCATTTGTGAAAGACAAGAGAGTGTGAATGACAAAATTACGGCTTCGTGTGGAAAAAATATGCCTTTCTCCCCAGCATTAAATCAAACTAACAGGCAATGACAATTACCTTTCAAAAACATTTAGGCCAACAAGTTTTCAAAAAACACAGTTGTAGTCCGTTTCAATCTTCTTCAGGTTTGTTCATCCGGCTTCCGTCCATCTGTGTTTGCTATGTAATTATACCTTGTTTTCAATGTTTAAGCACCTGGGTTATTTTTACTGATGTTACAATCAGGTTAGCGACTGTTGCGGGTTCCCACGGTTTGAATTTTAATAAATTTCGTGACATATCTCATTTAAGGTGATGTTACACGGGACGATTCGCAACGACGATTTTTAGTGCAACACAGCGTTGCAATGTTGGAACAATGTTGTAATTATTCGAAACAATATCGCAACAATGTTTCCCCGCTGTGTTGCGCTAAAAATCGTCGTTGCGAATCGTCTCGTGAAACGTCACCTATGAATGTACAATAATGGGCTAACTGAGCATAAAAGACAGTTACCAGAAATAATTTTTTTTATTGTTAAAAAAAAACTTTATTGTTGCCTTATTTCGTGATTCATGCAACATTCAGAGGAAATGGATTGTTCCAGCATAATTTAAACGGAAAAAACAAGATCAACAGAACTACTTACAAAACATGTGCAAATGTTAATCTAATAAGTCCTGATAAGTAGCGGTCAAAAAAGCATTAGTAGTCTTCACTTCGCTGGCCCTGGCGTAGGTTATTATTTAGGGTGATAAACTCATAAACTGGCCCACAGAACTTGATATAACAAAATTGCAAGAGGCTTTCTATGATCACCGAAGAAAAAAATCGTCTTAGGAATTAAATTTGCCCCGTTGTTATCTATTACCTTTGGATAAAAGTATAAAACTACTTGCAAACGGACGTAACAACGCCCAACAATGTCATTGGGAGTTGTTGCGTCCGTTTTCACGTAGCTAAAAGTTTGAACGGTTTCAAACTTTGCCGGGTAACAACTCCCAACAACACTCAACAACGTGCAACAGGGCCGTGCGAACGGACCCAACATGTAACATTCAACAACGATGGGATCGAGTTGTTGGCCAACAGTGTTTTCGTCTGTTTGTACGGGGCATACTGTAAGGGCTAAGATGGAAGCTGTTGTCTCACGTGAAAATCCTGAAAAGCAAACCCGTGACAACGAAAACGCCTTCTTTTGAAAACGCAGTAGTGTGAACAGGGCGTTAAAGCTTTGACAACAAAGAACGTGTTCTACTTTATTTACATTTATAATCATATTAAATCATCAAAAAATACCCCGGGGGGGGTACCCTATTATGTAAGTCCGATACAGGTTTTTTGCAGCCTCAAAGGGTATGATTTTTACGCCGTTTTGGTCTGAAAACGAGTATAGTCTTCGCCCATTTTGGTCTAGAATTAGGTATGGTTTTCGAGGAAACTATGGGAGTGTATGAACGTATTTATCGTTTCAGTTCCAAATGAATAAGAAAGAAAGAGAAATACGCGAATTCGCATTTTAAGAAATCTATTTGGTTGGCCTTTTTATCTAAGTAGTTATGACATAATTTCTTGGAGGCCAGGTCTGAAAACGGGTGTAAAACTATGACATTTTTTGTTCTGAATTGGGGTCAGGATTTGGAGAAGTGTTCGACATAGCCCCACCAAGAATTCGCAGGAGTACCCCCAGCCCCCGGGAAAATACCAATTACGTCAGTGATGATATAATGAAGTAACAGAACAAAAGATCGCGCAACACAATAAGCTACAATAGAACACCATGCGTTGATAAAATAATAAAGAAAACTTGTGAATCACGAAATACAGGAAAACCTCCCCGGCATGGAGACAGCATTGTAAGTCTAATACGTATTTGACCAAAGAAAAACAAATTTGAATTCCCAAAAAATCTCATCAGATCTGTAACATCGCATCCCGAAAACTCAGGGCGAAAAGAATCAGAACTGTTTTCTATACAGTCACGCCACAGGTCCTATATGCAGAGATCAAAACCAGAGTGAACAAAATATATACAGTCGAACCTTAACTGGTCGAACCTCTTGTAACATCGGAATCGTTTACTAAATAGCCTCCCTATCACTAGTCCGGCATAACGGCTAAAACTAAAGTGCTCAATACTTGTTAACTTTTTCGTTTCGTGCATTTAGCTTCTTTTTGATGTTGATTGTGTTACGTTGTTGCGAGCATTTTAGCTCATTTTGAATGTATAAAATGTAACCTTGTTCCCAGTTTTACAAAGTGGTCTGTCCTATGTTACATTACATCTCTTCGATCCTCCTTGACATCTCCTTTCACCGATAACCTTTGCAAAGACAGTGGCTGACAGAAAGGTTCCCTCTTAGGCCCACATCCTTAGCGTGTTTTCAGCTTTCAAGTAAAATATACAAAATTTTTATATCGATATACATTTGTGATTGTGAAATGTAAATTGGGGCTCGCGTGTTATACTTTACCTGCATATGTTCCACCAATGAATACAAGAGCGAAGAAAACCCTCATCTCTTTCCGCTATCCCCGCTAAACAGAGTACACAAGAAAATGTAGTGCTAAAAATTCAAGCACGTGGAATTGTAATTGATCATCCTTAATGTGAGGTTTGTGGGTATGTCGAACCGGGGGGGAAGGGGGGTGGTGGAGGAAAGGGTCTGGGGACTTCCCTTAGTTGGCAAGATAATGGCAACAAAGTTAGCATTAGGAAAAACTGTTTGAATGCAGAGGTCCACGCGACGCGTAAATATAACTGGCTGGTTCCTCTTGCCGGATCTCTAATCCAACAGTTGCTGTAGCCAGTCGTCACTTAAAGTGCCGGTAAAATAAAACCAAACTGAATGCAGGGCTGGCACTACAGCAAAGGGCTGATTCAGATTATAAGCCTATAATAAATCAGCCCTTTGTCGTAATGCCAGCCCTGCATTCAGTTTTGTTTTAATATTAGCATTGTTGCTTTGAACTTGCTGATATTTTACATATTTTGGAAAAAGTAACAGTTGATGAAATGTAAAGAAGCAAAGCTGTGCACTTAAATTAAGCCCTGCTTTGAATTTAGTAGTCAGAGCAATGATTTATATCAGACTTCTAATGAGACCGGCTGAACTGTATTGATTCAGGTAGCGTGCCAGCAGGCTCTCCACCACAAGTGGCGAGAGAGCGCACGAGTGAGTCGCGAAGCCGTGAGGGGCGGAGGAAAAGGAGAGCTCTCCTCTCTTTCCCTAGACTACGAGCAGTCTCTATTTTTTCTTGGTCCGTCGAGCAAAACGCCTGAGACACGCAAATGACCACGCGCGTGACTGAAGTTCCCCACCTCGCGCACTTGCGTCTCCTTTCGCGTGCGGCTCTCGAGTGACTTCTCTCGACTCCCCCAAGTGGAGAGGTTGCTCATAGGCCATGCAAGACCGACTCCTAAGAAAGAAAGGAAAAAAAAACTAGTAGGTGCTAACGAACGCCCAATGCGTCTTGCTAAAGAAGAAAAAAAACAGAACATTAAAATATCATTTCTCGCTGAAACAGATGACCTGACATGACCTAAACTTCGAGCCAAGACCCGAACCAAGGGTCTTGGTCTTTTCCTTTTTGAAAGCAATTGCTCGAGGAACCGGACCCATAAGGGTAAACCTTGACCAACAGCAATAGGGAGTTTTTAAACTCTCTATCTCTATCACCTGTCTATTGCTGCTCTCTATCGTTTCTGAGAATTTCTCAAAATAGAAAATTGCGTGAACTACCAGAAAATGAGAACCTTGGTCACGTGGTACTATTTCCATTGCAGTTAGCCCCCCTATAGCCGTAAGACCCTACTACGGAATTATCGAAGGTTGTATCCATAAAACAGGAAGGTTAAACATGTTGGAGTGGTTTTTACTGACTAGCTACAGCGTCCCTCTGACCAGTGTGATAACGATCGCAACTTTGGTCTTAACAACAGTGATCGTCTTCAGACTGTTTTCCAAAAGGCAAGTATATATACGTAAATGATTTTGGGAACAAATTCGTGGTGATTACCGGCTGCGACACTGGGTTCGGTCACGAAACAGCCATTCGCCTGGATAAGATGGGAGTTCATGTGTTGGCGACTTGTCTGACAAAGGAAGGGGAACAGAATTTGAAATCAGAGACGAGCGACAGGCTTAAAACATTTCAGATGGATGTGACAAACTCGCAGCAAATCAAAGATATCTACGAGAAAGTAAGGGGAATTTTGCCCTTGGGACAAGGTGGGTGTAAGCGGCTGTAAGTTCTACGACTTTTGGCACTCGATTTATGCAAACTTATGCTTACGGTTTGATTGTCCCGGCTTACCACTCAAACCAAATCGAACGTTTTATTAATCGAACTTAATCGAACTCAGTCGAGTTTAATCGATTGATTACGTTCGATTAAGTTCGGTAATCAAACACAATAGAACTCAGATCTCACAAAAACGTTTTAGGGGGGTGTTTACGTGAGAAAACTCGCACCGGCGCGAGTTTCATACCGGAATGACTTTCTGATTTCGTAATCGAACCCAAGCGAACTTTGAGCGAAGTTCCATTAGGTTCGATGGTTGAATCTGGCATACATTTGATTACAAATGGGACTTTATACAGGAAAATTAATACGGAACGAAAAAACGGATTTACTGAACGTCAAAAGTGAAGTCAAATCAAATGCGCGATAAAGACCACCTTTGCACACCTTTGCACACCTTTGACGCGAGACAAATGTTTACCTTTGCCTGCGGTTTCAGGCGAGTCTTCAGGCGATAAAGGCCGTTTTTGTCACGCCTTTAACCCTTAC